TTAGTAAGCCACTGACAGATATGTTTAAAAAGAATAGGTTCAAGTGGACACCTGCAGCAATATCAGCTTTCAATCGACTTAAGGAGGCCATGTGTTCTACTCTTGTCTTAGCATTACTTGATTTCAATAAACCTTTTATATTATAAACTAATGCTAGCAACAATGAGATTGGAGCTATTTTATCCTAAGATGGAAAGCTAATAGCTTACTTAAGTAAAGCTCTAGCTACTTGACACAAAGACCTTTCTATTTATGAAAAAAAGTATCTAACCATACTAATGGCAATAACAAAATGGAGACATTACTTGGAAGGACAATTATTCATTATCGAGACAGGTCATGAAGCGTAAAATATTTGCTTGAGCAGAAGTTGACTACCACCATTCAAAAAAGAGGACTAATCAAATTACTTAGGCTAGATTACTCTATATAATATAAAAAAGGTAGGATGAATACAACAGTAGATGCCCTATCCAGGTAATATAAGGAGGAAGCATAAAGCTATAGCTTGCAATCCACTACATTTATACCAGAATGGGTGAAAGAGATCGAGTATAATGGTGATACACTAGCACAATAGCAAATTAAGGCTTCTATCATCCATCATTTTGATAATTCTCACTATTCATTTAGTAATGGAGTTTTAAAATTTAAACATGAAGTGTATGTAGGTAATAATGGGCAGTTAGGGGAGAAAATTTTGCAAGCCTTTCATGATTCATCTCAAAGGGCATTCAAGAATTCAAGCCACCTACCATAGACTTAAATTAAATTTTTATTGGCCTAGGATGAAGAAACAAGTCCGTGAGTATATCCAACAGTGTGATACTTGTAAAAGGAATAAAGATGAGCATGTTCCTTATCCTAGTCTTTTGTAGCCAATTCTTATACCACAACAAGCCCGGGATATAATCAACATAGATTTTGGGTTGCCCTTATCTAAAAAATATAGCTATATTATGGTGATAATGGATAAATTTACTAAGTATAGTCACTTTCTTCCTTTGTTACATCTTTTTACAGCTATGAAATAACTAAAATATATCTCAACCAAGTTCATAAACTACATGAGACGCCTAAAATTACTATTTCTAGTAGGGATCTAGTATTCACTAGTCTATTTTGACAAATAAAATTGTTGAGAACCATATTTCATCTGAATACAACTTATCATCCAAAATTTGATAGACAAATCGAGAAGGTTAATTAGTGTTTGGAGCAGTCTTTACGGTGTATATGTTTTCTCAAGCCTAAAAGTTAGATTTGATGACTACCATTAGTTGAATAATGGTATAATACAAGCTACCACACTTATCTCGGAATGTCTCCATTTCATGCTTTGTATGATTACAAATCATAGCATATGATACAAGTAGTCAAGCAAAAGTGACGAATCTGAAAAACAAGTCAGTAGGTTGATGGTTGATCAGTTGAATAAAGCTTAACAGAGGATGAAATTATATACTGACAAAAAAAAAGTAAGAAAGTTTCAGGTGAGAGATGAAGTGTATTTAAAACTTTAGCCCTACAAACAAGCCTCTTTGGCACTTCGAAAGAGTTTAAAACTTTTATCCAAATATTATGGTCCTTATTCTATATTAGCCAAATTTGGTTTAGTTGCTTATAAATTGCAATTACCTCTTACTTTTGAGTTTCATCAAGTGTTTCATGTCAGTTTGTTAAAAAAAAAGTTAGGCAACAAAGTAGTTCCAAGCTTAGCTTCATCAGAATGAGGATGGACAACCGCTTGTATATCCAATTGCTGTGACTGATAAATGAATAGTTAAAAAGCACAATAAGGTTGTCACCCAACTTCTAATGGTTTGGTCAAATTTAAGGCCTGATAATACAACTTGGGAAGACTATAAAGGATTGATGTCACAGTTTTTAGATTTTGATCCTTAGAGACAAGAATATGGTGAAATAGAGGGTATTGTGATGAACTTAATGAAAAAGAGCAATAGCAGTATAAGCAAGACTATGGCAAAAAATGATTATGTCAGTTATTAACATATTAAGGTTGGAGTTAGTAATTAATCTATTGGCTAGTAATACTCTGCAAATTTGTAATTTTTACAATTTACACAATAATTCCACAATAGCTTTATTTAAATAATTTATGGTTGTAACTGATTTTCATGAATGGAAAGACAATTTCTTCTCTGAATCCTTTTCTATTCTCTTTGTAGTCTTTTTAATTTTTCTCTATTCTCTTTTTAGGCTTTTCAATTTTTTTTTGGTCTCTTCGTAATCTTTAAAACCTTAACCAAGTCACAACTAAGTTGTGACATTAAGTTACAATTTCATTGGGTTTGCATGAATAAATCTTGTGTGGAGACTGAGTTGTTGACACTAATTAGATGAATCCAATAAGGGACATTAGAAGTCAGAATAAAAAATATGACCTTTTGGTAGATTGAGGTGCATGCTGCAAAACAATAAAAAGCAGATCAATTTCTTGGTGACAAATTGATAAGAATAGTAAAAGGATAAAAATCTACAAATCGTGTTGGTATGGCTGGTCATTTGAATAAGTAAAGGTAATTGCCATTTTTATCATTTTCTTTCTTAGATCATTCCTAGTGTTGATAGTAGCTACTGGGAACAAATGGTGAAAAGTATAATCTCTTATTAAGGAAAGGGGGAAAATGATGATAAAGTCAACCATGACAACCATTTTTGCTAAGAGGTGCAGAACTGAATGAGAAAAGGTCATCCGAATCACTGAATATATGATTTAGATGACATTATATGTTACGAGTCGAGACTCAACCTCTAGACTCATGCGGCTCCAGGACTTGGGCATGCACTCATTCAATGTTTTAGATCAGCCTAATTGTCATGGTTTACACCTTTGTGAGATATTGTCCGTCGTTTAACCTCATGGTTTTGTCTCACAAAAGGAGTCTTACAAGGAAGAAGTGGTGTGAATCTTTTATACCTTAGTGACCCCCATTTCATGTCTGATGTAGGATTGAAGTACCCTACCTACTCTCCCTTGAAGTGTTTGGCATGAAAAGTGGTATCAGAGTAGGCCCTAGACCGTTCGACCCATGCCAAGCACCTCAGGGGGTAGATCATAAGGTTGGGTGGGGAGAATGTTACGTCAAATGCTCCAAGGAGGAATAGGCAGGGTACTATAATCCAACATCGAACATGAAATGAGAGGTCACTGGGATATAAAAGGTTTCACACCACCTCTTTTTGTGAGGCATCTTTTGTGGGATAAAATCATAAGGCAGAAGGGCTAGAGTAGGTAATACTTATAAAGGTGTGAACCGTGACAGTTAGGTGATTTGGGATGTTAGATGAGTGCATATCCGGATCTTGGAGTCGCATAAGCTTGAAAGTTGAGTTTTGGCTCGTGTCACACCCTTACAGTTAGGCTGATTTGGGATGCTGGATGAGTGCATGTCTGGATCTTGGAGCCGCATAAGCTTGGAGGTTGAGTCTCGGCTCGTGACATTATATGTCTGGTAGAAGTTGAAAGGCCAAGGGGATAGGAAAAGAATGAAAAATTAGGAAAGGAACTATAGTTTTCCTTGGAGACATTTGGTAGAAGAAAAGATGAAAAGTGAAAGTAAGCAAAGAAGTTGTCAGTGACAATGAAAAGATTTAAGTTTAGTTGGATGAATGTTTCCTGTACGTGAAAGGATGCAAGTTCTTTCATTTTCTTCTTCACTTCTTATTTCCTTCTAAGCAATGGAGGGAAAATATAATTTCTCCATTTATTTCCCTCTCTGACATTCACAATGAAGTTATTGGAGTCTTGATGCTCTTTCTTTGTATTATCATTCATCAATGAAGATAAAATGTGGACGAGCATGGTTCCAGGATGTTGTTCACATTACACAAGGGAAGGTCTAGATCTTGTTATGAATGTGGCAATAAGCCACGAGCTTTTGTCGTTATTTTGTCCTTTTTCTTTGATTTCCATATGCGGCTCTTCACGAGACAATCTGTACCAAAACTTTGAATCACATTGCATGTGGCAAATGGCAATGCTGGGGCAAGGCTTACATGCTTAATATGAGCTCTGGACAATGGCTCTGGCTCGTAGGCTTGTTTCCTGATCATTGGCCGCTGGGTTTCACATTTTTGGTCTAAAACTTTTCTGCTAATTTAAGCAACTTGGGTTTATCGCACTCTCTGATGTGCACTTTCCAGCAGACTTAATCTTCGGTTATACCTTTCTTCAGATAATAGAACACAGATTAATCACAAACCAAAGAAAAAAAAAGTGCTTATCAACTTCATTGTTGATGCCTGTGCTAGGAGTTGGTAAAATAAAAAAAGCATGGGATGCCATCATGGAAAGGCATGGTGATGGAGGAGTACAATACAAAAGTATATCAATGGTGTAATGAATATTAACATCATCATCCATCCAATGTTAAAATTTCATAAGATTGTTAGCATTTTGGACAGCTTTATCTTTTTACACTCTCACTTTTGCAGATTCTTTTCCTGCTCATGCAATTTAAAATGATAGCTATAACTACTCTTCATCGTCTAAAAAGTATGTCATTTTATTAGTTTTACTCGTATAATTTAAGAATTTCACAATCGTGGATGATATAATTTTTCTGTTTTATATATTAATTTGACGTGCCATGTTACTAATAATAATTTATGTTTGTTCATAACTGCTCCATTCAACATATTCTATTAGTATTTATTCTTTTGTATTTTATCTGATATTCACTGTATTTTATAGACAAAAACAAAACCAAATATTCTTTTGATTTCTTTTAGAAAAATATTTCGAATTGCTGAGCTGTCTCAAGGATCCTAAAACTTTTGCTTACGCCACTCTGCTTGTCTCTTCATGTAAGCATTTCAACGGCCACCAGACACATATAGCTCTCAGCGGAAGCATCGGGAAGCTATTATCAAATTGAGACGTCAGTTTGCGGGAGCGCTCGAATCAATTCTGAAATTGGAAGAAACTAGATAGAGTGGGAAAGTTTGAATAATAATTAAAAGAAAAAAAGGGCGGAGAAATTATATTCCAACGATGCAAAATATAGACTTAACCACCCAAAAAAAGCAGATTGAAATCTTTACTCTTTTGACATATAAAACCCCAACAAACACACTGCAAACTGCTTCTTCCCAGCCAATTTCTGATACATAGTCAGCTAAAACCTTTGTCTTTTTTGTGTGTTTCTTTTCAGTTTGCAAATATGAGTGGCCCCAAGTATGCTTATCCCTACCCTGCTCAAGGTACACTTTTTCCTGGTTTCCCTTTTGTTTCTTTTTTTTTTTTTACAGTATGCAAAGGTGTTATCTTCTCAGTTTTTGCTTTACTTGCAAAGTTTTACATTAAAATTTGCTTTATATATTCGGATTATGAAGCTTGTAGTTGTAACCCTTTTTTTTCTTTCCTTCCAGTTGTTATGTTTATGGTCATGGGATTCTGTTTGATGTTTTAAGAACTTCTGGATCTTTTTCTTTTCTTGGTGTTTCCCTTGGATTAAAGAAAAATTATGGGTTTCTTTTTTGTTGTGTTTTTATGTATATGTCTTGTTGTAAGTAATATGTTTATTAATGTCTGAATTTTTGGTTACCAGGTTATTATCAAGGGCCTCCAGTGATGGCACCACCACAATATTATGCTCCACCACCAAGACGAGAGCCTGGATTCCTTGAGGGCTGGTATTTCTTCTTCACATATGTCCTCTACTTTTCATTTTTTCATTTTATATTATTTGTTAGCATGATTTATTTTCATGGTTCAATACTTCAATTTAGAGAATTTTAAGTTTTGATGTTTTGATTTCATTCAAAATTTTTGGTTTGCAGTCTTGCAGCTTTGTGTTGCTGCTTTCTCATCGATGAATGTTGCTGTGATCCATCCATCATCTTGGTGACCTGATAATATCTGTAATTGCACTGCATCCGAAATTTCACTTCTATGTTTATTGTGATATATATGTATGAAGACAGTGTAATGGAGTGATGTTGATCTTATGGAATCTGTTTAGTAATTTACAATAATAATAATATTGGTATGTGTTTTTTATTTTGTGGTTTGGACTTCTAGGTCATTCCTTGAAGTTGCTGTGCCTTTTATCCTTGTAATTCTGTTAAGAAATGAAGACAATATGCTTCCGGTAATCTAGTCTCCAGACTTTTTTTTTTTTTTAATAATTACACTGAAGAGATAAACCAAACGTCCCAGAAAAGAAATTTATTCTTTTTCCATTCATTGTTTCTCTGGAGTTCAGAAATTAAAATCATTTTAAGAAATTAAGTTGTTTTTAGTGTTCTATGTCATCACCAAGAAAATGGAAAGAAGAGTTAATTGTGGGGGTAATGAAAAGGACATTGGTGGTTCAGATTATTGAGTTGAAAAAATTTCAGAAGTTTTTCCAGAACTGTGGGGTCATTAGCTGATTAAATACAGAAGAAGTCAATAAAATAATTATTGATTAAGCCCATTTTGGGCTGTAACTGTACCTATTGAGATGCATATAATTGAATTTAAATGTTAATTTTAATGAAATTAATTTAACATAGTTTTTTTTATTAAAATAAATTTTTTAATTATAATTATAATAATTTTTATTACTATTTTTAATCTTATAAAAGTTAATACTTCGTGGACCCTAAATCGCTTCAACTTGAAATGAGTATGAAATGCTGGACTTTTTGTGGAAGCAAACCCCTCTTGTACTCAAATATTTGTTATTAATCCAAATAAGAAGCTAATTTTAGATCATCCAAAGCGAAAAAGAAAGTCAAGCAGAGATAAGCATGATAGATGGATGCGTAGGGCTTAGGCAAGATCTTTATTCCTCGTGTGGTGTTGGACCTGGCCATGCAGCCATTGTCTGAGGTTGCAAAATTTGCAATGTTTGCTAGTCAAACCTGTTGTGTTGAGTAATCTTATCTGTCATTATTTTAGAAGGAAAGGTTTTAGCCACACAAAACTCAACATTTCTCATGTGGGTATCCGATTCCCTGTTTATTATAGCTCGGTGTTAAATCAGGATATTAAATCGAGGGAGAAAATTCCAAAGTTGTGGCTACCATTTTGTCAACAGCTCAAGCATCATCTTAAATTATGTTCTTAACTCCATTATCATTGATGGAATTGTTAAGAGTTGGAGCCATTTACAAGGGTAACAGATGGGCTGGGCAAACTATTCATTTCTAACATCAAGAAGGCTGCTGATCACCAAGCAAACCCTTTAAACAAGTGGTAACAATGAAGAAATCAACAATTCCATGTGACCCTGAAGTTTGATTTATAACATAGCCAACAGAATTAAATTAATGTTAATGTTGATTAGATGAAGATCAGAATACAATGAATTCTTTCATTTTCACAATTAGGCTATTAGTTAAGTTGTAAATACCATGTAGTTATAAGTTGTAACAGGTATTGTTTGATAGCAGGCAGTCAAATAGCAACATAAACCTAACACCATTTAAGATTGTAATAAAGGCGGATCTCAACCACCCCTTTTAAGCGTATTGAAGTTGTTGCTTTTACTGTCCTTTTATGAGCTCTGACATGAAGACTGCATCCTGATGAAGTGAAAATGGTCAAGCAAGATTGTAAGTAACGGAATTGAATTTTAGATCAACGACATTCTCATCTTTAAAAAGTGAGGACATTGTCAATTGAGCTGAAGTCCAAAAATCAAAGAGGTTACAATTAAACTAAGATCAAAGGGGTTAAGGAATTTGAACCTTGACCTAAACCAACCTTAACTGCACTGCAATTGCTAATAATTACAACTCCTTTTCATGTTACTTATGTCACAAACATCTCTACATTGCTTACCTTCATAGCAAGGCAAGTTGAAAATGAACAAGAAGTGGCATAGAACACTTGCTTTGCTGGCGCAATAAGAGCCATTGTCATGCTTCATTGTACAGAAGTTCTACATTAAAAATGCATACTTTATGCTGAGTTTCATTATTACAAAAAGGGTACGAAGCTTTTAAAATCATGAGAGGACTTCAAATTCAAAGAGAAATAGCAGATTAGATAATCACTGAAAATCACCATTAACTAGAACTTTTGGATAGTAGTATCACAGGGTATTGTAATACACTCCCCAAGGACGTTTATTGTTGTAGGAAACTATATACCAAATTGAGAATCAGAAGAAACAGAAACAATGTAAGGACACAGACTTCACTAAATGCAATTATTTCCTGGACAAGTGCTGTGCACGAGTCATGCAAAACTTGCTAGGATAACATCAAGATGCAGCGAATACTTGCTAATATTTACTTCCACAGACATCAAGCTTTTATAGCCTCCTCCATGTATGGGGGATTTTCACACCCATTACTTTCTACCAAATTTCCGGTTTCACCACTAGTTTTTATATTGTTGCCACTGCCACACCCACCACAAACGCCGCAGCCACTGTTCCTCACCCTGGTTCCACAACCTTCACTACACCCACCACCACAGCCACTGCTATTCACCATGCTTCCACAACCACCACAGCCACTACTCTTCACCATGTTTACACAGCCTGCACCACAACCAAGCCAACCACCACTTTTTACTGCATTTCCTTTCTCACCTCCATAATCCCATTGCATGAACCATCTTTTTTGGGTATCATTGTATTTTCTAAGGTCACGTCATTGTCTGAATTGACTTCAGTTTCTATGGAGGCAGTCAGGTTGTCATGCTGGTCATTCTCAACATTTTCCTTCTGTGTTGCACTGTCCATCTCTTTCGTACTTTTGCCATCAATGGTCAAGCCAATGTGTCCTTTCCTCTTTAAAATATGAGAAAGTATAAACGCTGATATCAATCCAGGCAAAACGAACCATTCCTCCTTTGCCTATTCATTTTTAATTAAAAGGTAGAAGCAGTAAGTGATAAATTCTTCTTTTATGATTGCATATTTGTATGTCTAATTAATAGCTAACCTACCCTCAGACATCCAGATTTTAAGTCAAGCAATGCAACTGCTTTTCCATATGGATGTTCTGCAGAAAATTCAACTGCAGTCATAAAGTCACCTTCATTCCTCTGCTTCTCACGATGTTTGGGCTCATAATCCAGTTTTCTGCCAAGAAAAACCTTTACCTGTTCAAAGAAGGTAAGTTCAGTTGATAAAATTTAGTACGATAATAAAAACAATGGGAAGTTTAATTGAAAATTTACTAGTAAGTATTTCAGTAAGAAGATTAGATACAACATATATCATGTATACGTACAACTAATACACGTAAACACTTGGGCAGAGAAAATTCAAAGAAAGAAACAATAAAATACGTAATATGATCTCCACAAGCACTGTGCAAGAAGTGAATGAATGATTCAGGTAGCCAATCATGCAAACTTCTAGTAAATTCAAGATATATTAAATGTCCTATATGACATGTAGGGGATGCTTGTGTGCGCAAACATACATATGCAGGTATGTGGTATACGTGAGCTTCTAGGTGGGATCAAGTTGGCAGTTGAGATAAAAACAACAACCTTTAATACTTTACACTTTAGTTGCCAAAATGAAAGCTTTACTAGGATTTGACAATAGGGTGATAATGTTGTGACACAGTCTAAAATAATGCTTTCAGGCCATATGGATGTCAGAGAAGAAATTTTGCAATATTCTAAGAGATTTGTATATAATGAGGAAATAAATGGATGCATACCATCCTATTGCCTTTGAGATCAAAGAGATGACCATTTTTACTAACTTCTTCTGTATTCTGAAGGACACATTCAGAATCCATCAAAGACCAATGAGTCCCAAGAAGCTCTGCTACAACATGTGTTTCACCATGCTTTGTGATACCAATTACTTGCTTCCTTGAGCGGCAGTTTTCTTTCATCTTTGGCTTTCCAGATTCTCTATAATCAAGCCCCCAAATGTTAAAATTACTGCTAAACATTACATATCTTGCAACTAACAATGGTGAGCAGACAGAAAGATGCATAGGCACTACAATATGTTTTTCAAAGAACTATCATGCCTTTGACATAAAGGTCAATGAACATAAATCCTTGAATCAAGGACATTTAATATCCTAAACAAATAAATTATAGTAAAAAATCCTAAAAATTGTTTGTACGTCTTGAATTTCATCATGAGAAATAGATTTACAAGTTGAACAATACTTTGTAAGATAAGCAAATTACAGGTTATCCAGTGGAAAGCAAATAACTGACTGGTCAATATAAACCTTTCTTTTGAATTCTAGGAAAAGTGAGAGCTCTTATGGGAATAGTATAGCATAATTGTGTTTTAATATTTTAAAGCTTGACCAACAGTAAACAGCACAGCCAAGGAGTCACTATGGAAACTGCAGAATTTCTGATTTTAGAGATTAGAATAAAACAAGTAGGAAATTCCAGCATCAGATTGAATCTATATGTGAGTGTGCAGTGTTAATAGCATGTCCACAGAACGTTCCCACTCAAATATTTGTTGAGTTATCCATTACATGTGTCTGTTATTATTACCATTAAAAAAACAAAAACATATCAGCAAGTTTAACTGTTCTATATACGTCCTTAGGTGCACAAACAGACGCAGAAGAGATAAAGATACAAATGCACAGACAGTGATACAAGTATTTAATAACACACAAAAGTACATGGAAGATATGCTTAAAGTTGCTTGCCAGCATAAAATTTGGATGTAAATGTAAGTATACCTCATTTGGAGTCTTATCACCTCAGCTTGAGTTTCATCAATGACACTTGTGCAAGTCTTACCAGCTGGGACTTTTCCAGCTAGAGGAAGTTGGAAACAAGAAACTTTTGAAAAAGGACGGGATTGAACCATGTGAAGTACATGCGGTGCTATTGTAGGAACTGTAAATGAAACAGCAACACGCAGGCAAATTGGTTTTGAAGATCCATTTCCTAAAGTGGGCACTAAGTCCAACCATTTCTCCACAGCAAGTTTAGAAACTGGAACTAGAAACTCTCGTATAGAGAGTGAAGCAGCACCTAAAGTTTTGAACTTCTTTATTCCTGGTATATTGGAAGCTGAATGTGATACAAGTTCAAAAAGCAGTTCGCCTGTAGGTTCACACTGAAATGAAGCAACTTGTTTCTGCCCAGACTCAGATAAAATAGTCAGTTTCTGCTTAGTGTTAAAGAACACATCAGGTTGGGTTTTACTAAACAAGACAAAATGGTTTCCCTTTTTCTCATGTGGCAAGTTCTTAACTCCTACAAACTCCAAAAGGACCTGAAAAGCATAATGATGAAAAGACCTTTAAAATATGATAGCAGAATCAATCATCCTGTTCCAGACTAAATATAGGAAAAACCCAGAAACTATGAGTAATTTAGTACAATCAAATCGAGTTGACAATAAGTGGCATTTACTTGCAGAAGAAAAGTAATGGCTTTAAAAATGTGGATTATAGAATTCATATCAGCAGTTATGCTATTCAATCATCTTTTAAACTAATTATGATTTAGGTATAAATTGTGATCTAACGTTTCTAAGTTATATAGCTTCCCCTGTTTTAAGTAAAAATTCAACCAGGACATGGCACAGTTTTTTGTCTTCAAAAGAGATAGCACACAGAAAGTTGCCAAGAAATTATAGCATGTATCAAGAATGTTAAGAATGCAGTTACAAGAACACGAAAATGGCAGATGATAGCATGTCTTTTATTTCATCAAATGCAAGGGAAAAAGTTATCAATAACTACCTCTAAAACCCTCATCTCAGGAAGCTTAATAATTTTCGGAAACTCATTTGTGGAATGTAATTCCTTAGTCAAAATGTCAGGAATGCAAGAAATGGCCGATATGGGAGATGGAGAACTCCCTCTATACATGGCCCCTGCCTTCCAGTACCTTATGCCAAAAGTCTCTTCCCACTGTTTAGTAGTGCCAGAAAATCCAACATCAAGTTTTTTCCCCTTAGTTCTGTCTGAGTCTGTATCATCATGCTCCAATATCTTGCCAAGTGCTTTATTCAAATCTTTGCAGTAAGAGACAGGATGCAACTGGTGGGTGTGCCAAATAAGGTCAATGTCATAAGTTGGAACACAAAAGCGCTTTATGGACTTCTCTCGATTTCTTTTGATAAGATGAAGGAAACCCTTATATCTGGCTACAGCTCCTTCAATAAAGATATCATTGTTCATATGGGCTCTGGACACCTGTCATAGAAAAAAAGATCAGGAAGATTGCCAAGAAGAATTGAAATATGGCAAACTTGAGAAGCTAAATCTTGAAATTTGTGTGGCTAAACTGTGATCTATCATGTAAAGTGATTTCCTAATTCAATACGTGCTCAGAACGAAACAAAATACTTAGCATTGCATAAAGCTTCAACCTGACAATGGATATCGTGAGAGCCACATGCATGATTTTCTCAGTTTCTACTAGGTCTACTTTTTTACTATTTTAGTCTCTCTACTGACTATCAACTCATCTTCTAATCTCTGTTAAAGATATCACAAATTGGCAGAGTAATTACTTTAACATTATCTAACCGTCAAAAGTATGAGATACAAAAATCACAACTTTGAAAACTAAAAATGATCTTCCTCATTATTACCTGATAAAAGAAAGGACTCTGTCTTTTAACAGCTGAAATTAGATCATATTTAGTGTGCTTTTCAAGTCCAGAAAGTGTTTCAGAGGCATTTTCAGATAATGCTTTGGTCAAGTCAAAGTCATAAGGTTCATCTGGATAAAGTCTACTCCAAATTTCTTTTGTTTTCCTTTTACATGTGCTTTCAAGAGAAGATACAACATTAGAGTTGTCAAGGATCCTCCCATAAAGTTCCTCGCAGTCAGTCTTGTAACGAACCTGAAACACAAATAAAGGAAATCCAGCTTAGCAAGTAAAAATAAACAGGCCAAGAGAAACAAAATTTCTTACACTAGTAATTTTCAGTTTAGAGGCATACTGGATTTAGCCTGTGACAATGCCAAATCCATTCACAATCGAGAGGAACAACCAGAGGCCCTTCCAAAATCTCTTCCTTATAATATTTGGCAAGTAAGGGAAGCCAGCAAGCATTGTACCTGAAATTAACATATCTGAAAAAGTCAAACTTCCATTCAATATGTAAATAAAAAGTGCTTAGTGATCTATTTCCCAGGAATCATAGTAAAAGCATGAAACAGATTGAGTTTATACCACGAATCAAATGAAAAACTTGCAAAATCATAAAGAATATGAACATCAGTATAATGCAAGGAAAGTCATTGCCAAGTAAACATATAAAAGACAACCAAGAACCAAAAATCCATACCAACACCATCCAACCCCCAAAAGAGACCCAGAATTTGAAAATGGGAAAATGATGATTCTAGCAAGAAAAAAGTTGAAACAATCAAGAAAATTGAATTGTGAAAGTGATAACCTGTAAATAGCTCTTTGGAGAGTAGGACCATCGTAGAGCCAACGATTCCTATCCACAGCAGCAAGAAATTCAAGCTGCTTCTTGGCTGCAGCCGCAAGGTCCAAGCTTACCTCTATCTTTTGCGCCTCAACCCATTCCAATTCTTGCTCTTTTTCCATTTCCATCTCTTAATTCCCACCTAACAAACAACCCCATCAATAAAAAAATAAATAAATAAATAAAAAAATAAAAACCCATCACAAAAATTATAGTTTAATCTTATAACTGACAAAATTCTATAAAGAGTACCGGAAAGAAAAGTCAGGCAACCGCCTGGAAAGAAATGTATTTCAAGTTGGCTTCTATGCCGAGTTAAATATGAAAAGTAAATATGCTTCAATTCTTTTTATTTCTCTCAATGCACTTTCCATGTTTTTTCTTTTGTTTGGAAATTGTGGAAGAAAACAAATTCAGAAATAAACAAATATTGGTATATCATTGATAAGGATTTTTTTTATATTATAAGAAATTAAATTTTGGCGTCTTTATCATAACTTCATAAAAATTTTCTTTTATTATGATTTTCTAAGAAGTAAGAAGGAAAATACAAAGAAATAGAACCTTTGTAAACATAATTGAACAAAAACCTAGTTTTGAGATTTTTATAAACTTGTGATCCAATGTAGGGTTGTTTCTTTTAGAATTCCCAAAATTAGTACAAAAATGAAAAAAATTTTAAAATGAAAAAAATTTTAAAATGAAAAAAGTTTTCTCACGCTACAAATTTTATTAGTTGATTAATATGCATTGACTAGGCCTGACTAGGCCTTGTTTCAATTTCATTAGGTGGGAAAAATATATGGATAGAAGACAGGAAGATGGCAACAATTATTAGCCTTTTGCTTTTTTTTTTTTTTTAATAATAGGTTGAGAATTGAGCAATTAAAAAGGCAAGCAAATACATATTTAGATTTATCAATAAATAATTAGTTCAATTGATAAAAATTTATTTTTATTGATAAAAAAATTTTGAATTTAAATTTTATCGAATATCACTTATTAAAATTATTTCGAATGCACGATTAAATATGATATATTTTATTTTAATTTAAAAAATTAAATAATTATCTACTTCTGATTTTTTTTACAAAAAAAATACAGATTTAAATGTAATAATATTATGTATTTGTGATATATAAAATATTAATAATTTATATATTTATATTATGCTTTATATAAAAATTATATATTATTATTTGTATTAATATAAAAATAAAAAATATATTTTTAATTTTTATTAAAATTTTAAATTACATGAATTTTATATTTTATATTATATTATCGTATTATATTTAAAATTATTTTAACTACGTAAATCCAACCGCTTGGCACGATGATGAATGATGTTGCTTAAATAGTTGATTTCTTTCGCGTACGAAACACCAGTGGAGGGAAGAGGCATTTTAGTACAGAAAGTGATGTGCAGTACATTGCTTGGATCATTTCAAATGCAAAAGCCATGAGTTTTTTTTTTTTTTTTCCTAACCTTTTATCTTTTTGAAGAAGATAACTGATCTTCCATCAAAAAGTGTTAAAAACAATGTTCTTGATCTCTCTCTCAACTTTTTCATGGCGGGTAATGATGAATCCACAGCTCAAAAGGTCCGAAACAACAATTTTCTTTCCTTAATTCGATCAATTAGTATAAGCTCCATTTTCAAATACACTTCAACCTAATTTAACAATGTTGATGTGATTTAAAAAATTTTGATTTAAAAAGCGTATTTAAAAATATGAATAGAAAAAATATCATTTAAAATTTAAAATATTTATTATTTATATATTAAAATTTAAAAAGTAATATTAAAAAAATATATAATAAAATTTTAAAGTTATAAAGATATAAAAATAATTTTATCTTCTAAAAGTATTTTTCAACAGCCAACACAACTTTAAAGAGTTTTGGCCTCTTTTTTATCATAAGCTCAAAATTTTCCCTTGTTTAACATTGAGATTGCGGTTGAAATGAACTTATTAATCAAAAGCACCTCTAGATCTCATTGGTAAACAGGACCATTTAACATAAAAAACCTGACATTAAGCAGAATAAAGGCAAGTTGTGAGTTCAACTTGCAGATAAAAAAGTTTCCTTCATAGGAATAAACTGCAAAAATGAGCATACAAACCTACTGACAAATAATAATGTTATAAGGATTGCACCCACAATCATGCACCTGTGAGTTTTTTTTATGACATCAAACTAATGTAGGTACAAGCTTTTGCCAAAATGATGATAAAATTAATAATTGTAAAAATATGTCAGGCATCATGTGTACTTAACCGTCAAGCTTTTATTTCCTGGCCTCCTCATATTCTGCTTCTGGGGTCTGATCATCGACAGAGGATCCTCCAGCGGAACCACCGGCAGAGCCAGAACCCTTACTCATGTGCTCTCCTATCTTTGAAACAGCCTTATTTGCAGCATCCAGTTTGGCCTTGATTTCATCTGCATTCTCCCCAGCCATTGCCTTCTTCAAATCTGCCACAGCAGACTCTATCTCTGATGCAATCTCGTTGGGAATCTTGTCTCTGTACTCATTCAAGCTCTTCTCAATATTGTATATGCTTGTGTCAGCACTGTTTCTCAAGTCAATCAAAGTTCTTTTCTCCTCATCTCTCTGAGCATGCAATTCAGCCTCCTTGACCATCTTCTCAATCTCATCCTCTGAAAGACCACCAGATGATCGGATTGTGATCTGCTGCTCTTTTCCAGTTGCCTTATCCTTAGCAGAAACAGTTACAATCCCATTGGCATCTATGTCGAATGTGACTTCAATTTGGGGCAACCCTCTAGGTGCAGGTGGAATACCAACAAGATCAAACTCACCCAAAATCTTATTGTCAGCTGCCAGGTGACGTTCACCTTGAAGAACTTTAATTCCAACCTGAGTCTGGTTGTCTGCTGCAGTAGAGAAAACCTGCAGTATAAAGGATGGTTAAAAACTTAAAATTACCCATCAATACCAGCTAGCAAAAAGACTAGGCTATCATTTTACAAGGCAATAACACTTATCAACACAAGAAGGCAAGATTCAATTGAGCACAAATGCATGTGTATTGGCAAAACATTCTTTTCAATATTGTTGCAGGATACCATATGTATTACTATACAATGTCTATTGGAACAACATATTCACCTTCTACTTTTAAACAATACCAGAAAAGTTGTTGTACTCTCCAATATATCTGACACAACATATAATGTATCATAACACTGACCTGTGATTTTTTCGTAGGGATAGTTGTATTTCTGTTGATCAACCTAGTGAAAATTCCACCAAGAGTTTCAATACCAAGTGACAGAGGAGTTACATCCAACAGAAGCAGCTCCTTAACATCACCTCGAAGGATACCACCTTGAATAGCAGCTCCCATTGCAACTGCCTCATCAGGATTAACCCCCTTGCTTGGAGACTTACCAAAAATTTCTGAAACAATTTCTTGCACCTTGGGTACACGAGTCATTCCCCCGACGAGCAATACTTCATCTACCTCATTGATGGATATCCCAGCATCCTTCAAACAATTCTTACATGGAATTCTAGTTCTCTCAATCAAGCTGCTCACCAGAGTCTCAAACTTGGATCTGGTTAGAGTTATATTTAAATGTTTTGCTCCAGATGCATCAGCGGTTATAAATGGAAGGTTGATTTCAGTTTGGGATGTAGATGACAGTTCAATCTTAGCCTTTTCAGCTGCCTCCCGAAGCCTCTGGAGGGCAAGCCTGTCCTTTGAGAGATCAATGTTATCGGTTCTCTTGAACTCGCTCACTAAATACTCTAATAATGCATTGTCAAAGTCCTCTCCACCCAAGAAGGTGTCTCCATTTGTCGCTTTTACCTGGTAAAGAGTTCCTCAAGTAAATCAGCTTAGCCAAACAATAAACAAAATGTCAAATAAGGAAAGAAGCATACCTCAAAAACACCATTAGAAATTTCTAATATAGAAACATCAAAAGTTCCTCCTCCAAGGTCAAATACTGCTATGATACCCTCTTTGTTATTCATTCCATAGGAAAGCGCAGCGGCAGTTGGTTCATTGATAATCCTTTCAACATCTAACCCAGCAATTCGCCCAGCATCCTTGGTGGCCTGCCTTTGTGCATCGTTAAAATAAGCAGGAACAGTGATGACAGCTTTGGTCACCGTTTTACCAAGGTATGCTTCTGCAGTTTCCTTCATCTTTGTTAGAACAAATGCACCAATCTGGCTTGGGGAATAAGTTTTTCCATTGGCTTCAAGCCAAGCATCCCCATTGGGAGCTCTAACAATCTTGTAAGGTACCATCTTTATTTCTTTTTGTGTCTGAGCATCATCAAAACGTCTTCCAATTAGACGTTTGGTTCCAAAAAATGTGTTTGTTGGGTTGGTCACAGCCTGACGTTTGGCTGGGGTTCCAACAACTAGCTCCCCCTGCTGGTTGAAGGCAACCACTGATGGCGTGGTTCGAGCACCTTCAGCATTCTCAATTACTCTAGCGTTCTGCAAAATGCACAAAAAAAAAGACTCAAATAATCAGGGTAGAACGTAGTCCCCTACAAGGAAATCTAATATATACTTCAACAAGATTAACAATATTACTAGGGAACAATAATCTACCTTTCCATCCATCACTGATACACATGAATTGGTAGTACCCAAGTCAATACCGATAACATCATTACCAACAGGTCTTGCACTGTATTGTAGGAACAACAACATCTTAGCAAACAACAAGCCATTGAGATGGATAATGTTTTGAAGAAACAATAAGAATACCTGAAGGGTCTTGCCAAAGATGCCCATCTGACCAGTGGAGAGCTAGCCAATGATTTCTTAGCATTTCCAGTCAACTATAACAAGGACAAAAGTCACTAGTAAGCTTCAACGGCCAATTACAATAAGTCCACATAGTAATATCTCAACATAAAGAACCCTACCAACAATATTTCAAATTCGTTTACTAAAATTAACCCAGAAAAGTTCATAACTACAAACACATCCTAGTCTATAGCTATAACGAATCCAACAGCTCCTGACTAACCAATAAAAAACCATTGATGGTGTTAGAAGCATAAAATCTAAGACCTCTAAACGAACATAAAAAAATGGGCAAAGACTACAATTTTATCCATTAAGGAATCAAGTTATAACAGGGTTTTAAAATCGGATAAAATCAAAGGAAAGGAAAAAAGAAAACCAATATCAATTAAAAAGCATTGGTTTTTGACAGCAAAAAAAGACTTAAATTTGGAAAATAACAGCGAAACCCAAAAGACCCTAAATAAAGAAAAGAGAAACTTACGGATTTGCAAGCGGAGAGAGAGGCAGAGTGAAGTTCACGGCGCTGTAAAGCACGGCGGAGAACTGAAACGGCCATGAGAGGATCAAAATATTAACGCCCTCCGGAAGTTTGGAAGACTGTATTAGGGTTTTAGGGAAGGGTATGGGTGGGCTTTTATTTAAAGTGAAGGGTTTTGAACTAAATGACAATTTTAGCCTTAAGTTATTTTAAGAACAACGATTCTGTTGGTGGATTTGGAGGGTAAAGTAGGAATAAAATGGAACATGTCTGCGGTCATAAGTTGGAGTTGGCTTCGGAGGATCGTGGGCAACAAGTCATGAAGACATATGAATGGGTCATTCGTCATCAAATTTACGGCTGACCGCTTTGTTTTTATCAGGCAAGCTTTAGACAAAATTGGAAAGCCTCTTGAACCCATTAAAAAAAGAGTTTTGACTAAATATTTTGAGCCCAAAAGATATGTAACTGGGCCTTGCCTAAGCATTTTAAGGCCTGGACCATCTATCCTGAATTTAGAGATGCAGTTTATCTCTACCTAAATAAAAATTCAATTTTTTATTCGAATAAAAATATGGATAAATATTATATAATGATATAAAAATAAGTATAATTTTAAATTTTTATTAAATATAAGTATGAAAATGAATAATATCGTACCGGCCTATACCCATACATTATATATATATTGATATAGATTTAATATATAAAATTTTTATTAAATAATATAAATTATTATTTTAGATTAATTAAAATTAATATATTTTTATTGAAAAATATATTAATATATATTTATAAAAATTTATCTAAATATACAAGTTAAAAATTCAAAAAGGTAAAAAAAAATTAATTTTTAGTTTTTTTTTAATTATGAGTATAATAATTATGCATACTTGTTAAATACCCACAAAAATGAAAGTAGAGATAAATTTAAAATACTTATTGAATATGAGTACAGAGATGAGTATAAAATAAAAATTTGAAAATAAATTTAGAAAATTCCTTACTCTACCCATACTCTACCAATTGACATCCTTACCTGAATTACTACAAAAACTGTCTGGCTACCATAAGCTACATGAATCACAACATAATAAAAAGATTCACCATGAAAACCTCAGTTCCATTTCTAACAGAAAAACATGGCAATAGATACTAGATGGTCCTAGTACATATTGATGAAAATAGGTCATAGTTTATAAATCCTCTGATCCAGTTTTATCATCCGTTGGCTGTGATGCGGATGCCATTGTTCTTTGATCCAAGTATTCTTCTTCGATCGTTTCCTTGAGGATGAACAGCCTTTGTATGACCACAGGTTGAGTCATCTTCTTAGCTTCTTTGATGTCAGTTTCCTCCTTATTGAGATGGTATGCATCCAGCATGATTTTAATCCACTTGTGAAGCTCCTTGGGAGTACTGTTCAACAAGGTAATGGCAAACACAAGGTATATGTCATGCTACATTAATTTGAAGGTACTACTTTAATCTGAAGAGGAAAGAAAGACCCTTACGTATATGACGCATTAGGATCCTTGGGTTCGTGTTCATTGCCTGGAGAGAAAGCTGTTGCTAGTGCAGAGAATCGCTCTTCAGGATCTGTGATGTTCAGTAGATGCTTGAGCAACTTTATCTCTTTTGGTGCAATGCTCTTAAGACTGCTCTTTGTGGCTTTGTATAAGCGATACATTATGTCTTTAACCTGCACTTAGATGTTGAAGAAGAAAAATAAGAGAATAGAAAAGACAAGCAGTAGCTGGCATATAGTGCTCAAATATTTTTCCCTCTGATGATCGAGATTTGGTGTTCATTACAGTGATCAGGGCTTATTAAACTTAAGAACCTAAATAAGTTAAATGCCTTCATTTACCTTCTGAGAGGCAATCTATACATGATGGACACATATTTGATTCCAAAAATCCTTGAAATCAGGTTTTAACACTCCACTTCATGGATTATCTTCAGTTTAAGTTTTTGGTATCTAATGAAGTTTCTAGACTTATACTTGTTAAATCCTCAGTACTAATTGGACGCAATGCACAACATTGTGAATACATTTTCTTTGCTCTATGATATCTTATTAACACGTACCATTATCATTGTTGTACTATATTCTAACACTTGACAATTATCTCTGCTTAAATTTAAAGACTTACATGCATGCCATTGCAACATATCCTACAATTTAAATACTCAGGAACATAATAGTAGATCTTATAGAAATAATGAAAAACAATAATTAAGATAAAAGAAGCATATACTTGTAAATTGAATATTTTTTATCCTCTTAAGATGCAATAACTCTAGAAAGAGACCAAGATGCACCATAAAGACAATACCTCATTCTTCATAGTTGTGGACTCCTTTGCTGATGCCCAAGCACTATTTATCAACAGAATCAATGAAGAGTCAAGATCCTTTGCCTTGGCAAGGCTTTTGATCTTTTCACATGCAACATCCACAGAAGGAGAATTTAGTATATCATCGAATTTTGCTTGCGCAGCATCTAAATTCTCCACAGCCTCCAGTGTCTTATCATAAGCACCAACAGCCGACAAGCATCTTGCTGCCAGTCTGGCCACCCCTGTGCCAAAATAGATAGAATTAAGCCAACTTCAACCAAGTGAGAGGAAGAAGAGACACATGTTTAACTTTTTGAAGGCATTGTCACTTCCTATCAGCTTAGAGCATCCACTTTTCAACCACCAAATTAATTGAGACTGCATAGTTTACCATCTCGGTCCTCCAGACTATCATATGTTTCTGAAACCAGAGTGAGGTAGCAGAAAAATTCATTCGTGAAGTCTTTATGCCGCCTTGTAATTATTGCATTTATATCAGTTGGGCTATCTTGTATCTCCTTAAGAAGTTCACTGTGTCTTTCCATTTCATCATCAATCTGCAATGCTCATTCCTATTACACAAAACCAAAAGAATCTCTAAAACAAAAAGGAGTATCTAAATTCAAATATAACCCCATTTTAGAGTATTATTAGTCACTTTAGAGAAGTTAGGAAAAGAAACAAAATAGAGCTATGAATCTTAATTGTTTAGATACTGACAAAAACCAATCTGTTCCTATTAAGTCTCCAACAAAAACAATGTTTAGTTGCAGTAAGTTTTCTCATTTGTTCAAGTTCTAAAATCACAAAAAACATAAGAATTCATAATACACATCCATATCAAACAAGTTATAATCAAAATTCAAACATTTTGTGATATTAAAACATGGTTTATACCTTCTTCACCTTGCTCTCCAGAGAAATCAATTTCTGCTTCATAGTTGGATCAATCTCTTTGTCAGCACGGGTTCGACAACGATTATAGAAGCTTTCTCTATACTTATTCCACTCTTCCCTTAGTATCAAGTACTTTTTCCATTCTTTTACCCTAGGTTTCTCATTCAAAAAGACATCGATGATTTTATCACAAAATTGGGTCATTGTATAACCTTCTGCAACTTCAACCTCCACTTGTCCTTCAACTTGAGCATTGGCTACACTACTTACTTGAAGACCTGAAAATTACAGTTTTTTCTTTTAAGTAACCAATAAATAAAACCATTATTTTCAACTTCATCTTTGCCCTCTGAAAGTGGAGTTAAAGTAGGGTTTTAGTTTCAGTTATTATAATTAAATAAAAAAGGGGCAAAAATCCAAAAAAGAAATGAAAAACAACTCTTTTACAACAACTAAAGCAATGAAACAAGAAAATAAGAAATACCCAGAAACAGAAAGCAGCCTATGAATAAAAAACTGAGATGAATAGAGCAAAAAAGGAAGTAATTTGATGCTTACTGAGATTAAAAAAGAGATTTTCAGGGGGAGAAAAGCTGTGGCTTTGTTTTCTTCTTCTCCTCCTTGGCTTGAGTATGCAGGGGAAATGAGAAGTAGAAGATGTTGGGGTTGATTTGCCATTGAAAGAGAATAAAGAGCTGGTAGGGACCAATGGCTGCAATCCCAAAAGACTGCACATTGCTGCTTTGTTACTGCTTAGATATGGAGCAAAGAAGAAGGAAGGTAGAAAGTTGTTCTTATTTTAAGATCCATGGCAATAAGTATATCCAGTCCAAACTGATGTCTTTGATTTGGGGTTTGGGTTTTGATTGGACTTGTAATCTGTCTTGTACTGTTGGATCATCTGGTTATTCAAAGCCCATTTCTTTGGATTTTGGACCCTTTGAAATCCAAATGACAAAACAAATATGGTGTAATTAAAATAAAAACTCTTATAAAAAAAAAAAAAAAGAATGAAAAACTAGACTTGGGTGTATATTTTATAAGTCAAAATTATAAAATTTAATAAAATTAAAACAAACCCTACATTATTGAGAAAAAAGAAAACCAACTAAACAAATTAGACAATTAGTAAGACTAGAAAATTTAAAATAAAATTAGATAAATATGTAAGATAATAATCTCAAACTAAAATTCTCAATTTTTAAAGGTTTTTTTTTTCATTAATGTTTCAATTAAATATTTTCAAAAAGGATATTGCTTTTGATTATCAAAGTTTATGTGTAATAGTCAACAATCTATTGGAAGAAAGAGTAATGGTTTTGTAAAATTTTAAGTATCATTTCACATTTGCACTCCAATAGAATCTGTTAGACAAAACTAAAGATTTTGACAAATATAAAAATTATTAGAGAGTGTTTGATATAGATGATATATTTAAAAATTACGGTAATCTACATTCAGTAATTATGTTATATTGTTTGGTAAGAATTTTAAAAAATTTAAGTGATAGTGTAAGATTATTAATTTGAGAAGTAATATGATTATCAACTTAAAAAATAAAAAATTTTATCACCATAAAAATTTAATTTTTTATATCATTTTCTTACTAATTTGTCATCACAAAAAATATAATTAACATTATCTCAAGATGCTGCCTACTAAAAATTTTTAAAAAATAATTTTTTAATCACTTATTTTAAAGAATGTTTTATATTATAAATTTATATTGACTAAAAAAATATAATTAATTTATTTAATAATTTTTTAAAAATTATTTTTATCAAAATTGATTTATATTTTATAATTTTTATTATAAAATAACGTTTAACTATTTTATAAATTACGGATTTAATAAGTATTAACTATTTTATTTTTTTTGCACGATTATTTTAGATATTTTGAATTATATGATTTATTTTTCATATAATATTAAATGCAATGATTTATAATATTATACCAAATATAGTAATTTAAGATCATTAAAGATCAAATTATTTGATAATCTTATCATCATGATACTTAAATTACCAAAATAATTTTAAAATTAATACCAAATGCTATCTTGAAATGCAAAGATTAAAAGGTTTGGGATCGTAATAAACAAAGTTCTCCAAAGGGTTGATCAATATATAAAGTCCAAATCACTCTCCTATGAAAACTCAAACAATTATACTTTGATACCAGAAGACAAGAACAAAAGTATTCCAAAATATTAGCTACAAACCCAGCATACAGTTCCAAAATATTTTGATCGTATTGATGATACTTGATAGTATTCCTTGATAGTATTCCAAAATATGCCAATATGCATCATCAACTCCAATATTAATAAGAAAAGTTTTTAACATTAATGGACAGGCAGTTCCATTTTACACCCTATTCGGAACTAAGTTGATATTGGCATCTTTAGCCAAATTGACTGGCAAAGGCAAATGCTTCAATTACCAATGGAAACAAAGGTTTATTTCTTTACTTCACCAGAGTCCAGCCAGAGACACCTCAGAACCAGAAAAGTCCAGTTGCTAATGAAATATTGCCAATCAGTTATTTGTATATTTTGAAAATATATTTCACTCAAAAGGAAAGGTAATGTATGGTTGATTTGCTGAATATTGCATGAAAGAGAAGGAAAATCCAGAGCCACCACGATGAAGATGCTAAAGCCCAATTGAGGGGATGAAGACTACAAGAAGTCATTTTCTTATTCTTGTCGATCAAAACGAATAGAATCGGATTCTTCAATGAAGAAAGCCACATATAGAACTTTGGAACTACCTCCAATGTCTGCCTCACCAGCTGTAAAAGTCATTTTCTAATGATCTTTCCTCCTTTTAATTCCCCCGCCACCTCATCAACTACAGGGAGGAGACTATAACTAGTTAAATTGCTCAACTATTCTCCTCCGTTTCCTTTGTCTATGCCTTAACCATTTTTTCCAAAGTAAAACCATATTGTTTCCTTACTGGTCTTAAATTATGGCTCATAGAAACGGTCATGCTAGTGATACAGTGATTGATATAAGGAACAAGCCAGTGAATTTGACTGGAGGGCTTGAGTATTCTGGCCTTACATATACTGTGATCAAGAAGAACAAGCTAGAAGGGAAATGGTTGAGACAAAAAGTGGACTTGTTGCATAAGATTACCGGGTATGCACCAAAAGGGTGCATCACTGCAGTCATGGGGCCTAGTGGTGCTGGGAAATCCACTTTCCTGGATGCTTTGGCAGGGCGTATTGCTAGTGGAAGCCTTAAGGGTACGGTGTCATCGGATGGAATGGCGATGAGTCCAAGTTTGATTAAAAGGACTTCAGCTTATATAATGCAAGATGATAGGTTGTTTCCAATGCTTACTGTTTATGAGACACTGATGTTTGCTGCTGATTTTCGACTAGGACCGATGTCAAGAGTGGAGAAGAGGCAGCGTGTGGAGAAGTTGATTGATCAGCTTGGACTAACAGTACGTACAGTTTCCATTTTCAAACCTCTGATGTTCATCTTATCTGTAGCCTGCAAAAATTGGTTTCAGGACCATAAATTCTAATTCTCACGAATTTAACAGCAAACTACTTTCTCATGAAGTTGCTGATTTATCAGTGTTTAATATAAGAATTGAGGGTGTAAGTTCTAACTACTTTCTTGCAGTCCTCATGGAACACCTATATAGGTGATGCTGGGACTAGAGGAGTCTCGGGTGGTGAGCGCCGCAGAGTTTCAATTGGTGTGGACATAATTCATGGACCATCCTTGCTCTTCTTAGATGAGCCAACTTCAGGTCTAGACTCCACTAATGCTCACAGTGTAATTGAAAAGGTGCGGGACATTGCACGCTCTGGTAGTACTGTGATCCTCACGATTCACCAACCCTCATCCAGAATCCAGCTACTCCTTGATCATCTGCTTATCCTTGCTCGTGGCCAGCTCATGTATCAAGGATCACCACGAGATGTCACTCTACATATTAATCGAATGGGGAGAAAGGTCCCCAACGGTGAAAATGCAATAGAGTTCCTTATTGATGTGATACAAGAATATGATCAATCTGAACTTGGAGTTGAGGCAGTTGCTGAATTTGCCAGAACTGGAGTAAAACCACCACCACTAACAGAAGAGGAAATGTCTGTTTCAACGGCTGCACCAACACCAGTCCCGGCTAATCGTGGCCGCCGCTCTCATATAGAAGGGCGCGGTGATGAAGGGAAAAAAGACAGGCGCCTTCCCTTGCAAGTAAGTGAACAATCGGTTAGTGATTTTGATCGTAGTTTGAGAAGCCCTTACAATAATACATCAAGGTCATGGAGTGCTCGCCACATCGGAGTAGTGCAACAACTCAGATTCACCCCTACCAGGCAACGTACTGATCAAAAAGCTCCAAGCCCAATGAGGTAATAGAGTGGTTATATTTTTCGGCAATTTGAAAGTTCTGATGCAAATCTTTTGTTTTTAGAGACAATGAGCTGAAATGCTCATATCCTTTGCATCCATGAAATTGTGCAGTTCATCCCCTGGCTATTACACATACTCAAGTGATATCCTTCCAGGGACGCCGACACCTCATAGCAGTGACTACACTGTCAATGAAAATGATTACCTGACTCCGGATGTAGCTCCAAAGACCGTAATGCAGCACCTAGGGCCCAAATTTGCAAATTCCTTCTTCTCAGAAACTTGGATTCTCATGCGCCGAAACTTCACGAACATTAGGCGCACACCTGAGCTTTTTCTCTCCAGACTCGTAGTCCTCACAATTATGGGCTTCATGATGGCCACAATGTTCATGCACCCCAAAATCAGTATGGAAGGCATCACCAATCGCCTTAGCTTTTTTATCTTCACTATTTGTCTCTTCTTCTTCTCTTCCAATGATGCCGTGCCAGCATTCATCCAAGAGCGCTTCATTTTTGTTCGTGAAACTTCCCATAATGCCTATAGAGCCTCTGCTTACACCATAGCTGGCCTCATCACATACCTTCCCTTTCTTGCACTACAAGCTGTCGTCTATGCTTGTATTGTTTGGAAGGCTTTGGAGCTTAGGGGACCATTCTACTATTTCTTTATTGTTCTTTTTGTCTCCCTTCTTTCAACCAACTCATTCGTGATGTTTGTGAGCTCAGTGGTGCCAAATTATATATTAGGTTACGCAGCAGTCATTGCTTTCACTGCGCTCTTTTTCTTGTTCTGTGGCTACTTCTTGAATAGCCATAACATTCCAGCGTACTGGAAATGGATGAACAAGATTTCCACCATGACATATCCATATGAAGGGCTGTTGATGAACCAGTACCAGACTCGTCAAACTTTTGGAAAGGATCTAGCCAATAGATCTATAACTGGATGCGATATCTTAAATTCGCTCAAAATTAGTACTGAAGAATTCAAGAAGTGGGAAAATGTTCTTATGTTGTTAGGTTGGGCTGCTTTTTATAGGATTTGTTTCTATATAATCCTTCGTCTTGGATCAAAGAACCAGAGGACATAGAAAAATCAAGAGGAAAAAGAATGATGCTGAAAATGCTTAACCTTTTGCTTTGTTCAAAGTGAATTGTCATTTTTTTGTTTCCCTCTCAAAAAATTTAGTGTCATGCCATGTATGCATTTTCACAACTGAGAAAACAAATGTAATAGCTTGTGACTTACGTTATTTGCTCTGATCAACTGAAATTAGTTGATTTATGGTTTTTTTTATCATCAATGTTATAAAAAGGAGAAATAGTTAAAAGGAATTTGCTATTTTACTTTTCTTGAGGACCTTGATATTCTGGTCCTTGGATCCTCTTAACAATTATGCATATTCTCCTTAAAGAAAACTCTAGACAAGGCAAACATCAGTCAGTA